TGCTTGGTTCTCTAGAACTCATAAAGAAAGGAAATTGGTCACCTTGGCTGAGGCTCTCAGAATGCCTTCTGCTACCTTTAGAAACACTCTTGTGGTTGAAAACGGAAGTAGCTAGTGCTAAACCTTCCAATTGGTGGAGACACTTTATAGGCTTGGAGGTCATTTAGTTAGAACCCTCTTTTTACAGAGCAGGAAGCTAAGCCCATAGAGGTTAAGTGACTTGTCCAATTTCTCACGGGTAGTAAGGCACAGAGTCAGATTCAAACCTATGTTTCCCAAGTTCAAATCCGCTGCTTTCCTTTACACCCAGAGCCAATTCCTCCAGGCTCTAAGAGCAGATGGCTAAATTTTCTCCCTCAGAAATGGCTATATTGGAGCGTCTTGAGTTAAGAAAATGTTGATAATGCAGATTAAAAGCATAGAACACATTTTTTTTGGAGAGCCTCTTGTTAAACATTTACCAGTATACTCTCTGCTAACACCACACTATTTTTTTCTAAGATCTGTCTTCTTCAGGGTTAGTATAATAGAGTCTTGAAGTTGGAAGAGAGTTTAAGAAGTCAATCCACTGCCCAGTGAAGTATATCCAGCCTCTGCTATGACTCACTAACAGCAGAACTACAGACAGCCATAAGCAGGTGATAGGAAAGGGGTTTTTTTTTGGGGGAAGGGGATTTAGGGTTGTAAATTAGAGACTTCTTGATGTCCCTTGAACTTACCACAAAAATGAGATATTTGCTTTGCCCATACAGATATTGCCCTGCATAACTAGAGACATAAGCATAGAACTCTTCCAGTTATTTTTTATGTTGACATTGTGAATGGTAGCTGCCCCAAAATGTCTTAGAGTACACTGAGAGAAGCATGTTTAGAACAAAGGAGGTGATGGTCCCATTGTTAAGCCTATATTTAGAAGACTAGATCAGTTGTGAGGCCATCATTTTGGAAGAGTATTTGCATTCTAGGGCATCTGACTGTAGATTTGGGCTGGGAGGTGCCTTAGAGGTCCCTGAGTATAATCCTTCTGTTTTATAGATAAGGAATTCATGAGTCATGGAGTTGGAGTGTCTTTCACAAACACACACAGTGGAGGGCAATCAAGATAGTGGAGGGGCTTGAAATTATGGCATGTTAGGATGGGTTGGATGAAGAGAGGATTTTAACCTACCTCACAAGGTTGTTGTGATGATTCAACGAGATCATATATACACATGTATGTAGTGAGGGCTATACCCCACATGTAGCATGGGATTGTCATTTTGTGGCTTGAAGCGAGGCAGAATAGACATCTCTAACCTCTTCTCCCCTCACTCTTCTCCAAGTGGGACTTCAATTCCTTCCAGGAAGGGAAGCAGGAAGTTAGGGGCAGAGACCAACAATTTGCTCTACTCAGAAGGAAGGTGGTGCAGTGGATAGAGCACCGGCCTTGGATTCAGGAGGACCTGATTTCAAATCTGGCCTCAGACACATAACACTCACTAGCTGTGTGACCCTGGGCAAGTCACTTAACCCCAATTGCCTAACAGCAACAACAAAATACTACTTGTCTAAGGGTATAATTTTCATGTTCAAATTAACTTCTGATCTCTGTTTCATTAATGGGAAAACAAGAGAAGAAGAGGGTGTTCCCTTCTGCTCTATTTTATCACTGATTTACTTGAGAGTTGGGAAAAGGCTGGCAAGACACTCTGGTGTCATCAGCAAAATTGTATGGGGTAGTGGAAACCATACTGTATCTAGAGTTGTAAAACCTTGGTGTGAATCTTACCTAAGCTATTTACTCCCTATGTGACCTTGACCATGTGACTTTGCCTGTTTGGGCTTCAGAGTCTTCCTTTGAAAATGGAGGGGGTTGGACGATATAACTTTTGAGTTTTAAGGGTCTTACCAGCTCTAAGTTTTCTGTCCTACTGTAATCTGCAAAATTTAAAGTATTATACATACAACTAGCAAGAGTGCCTACTAATAATTAGAGAATGGCCCACTAGAAGCTGAAACTAAAGCCTATTCCTTCTTTTCCTTGCAAGGTTGAGGACTATGGGTATAGAATGTTGCATTCACTGTTAGAGGATAGATCCTAAAGAGCCAGTGTGATATAGTGCATAGAATGCTTGATTTGTAGTCAGAAAGACCTAAGTTTAAATTCTACCTTAGACACTAGCTAGGGGATCCCAGGCCAATTATTTAATTGCTTTGGGCCTCAGTTTTATGATCTGTAAAAGAAGGGATTGAACTTGAAAGATGCCTTCCAGACCTAGATCTTATGATCCTTTAATACTTACTAAAGTGCCAAAGAACATCCCCTTTGTCTCCCTGAAATTCACAGAGCATATGCACGAGAGGAAAATGGAGCTTCCAGGTGAGGGAGGAGGGAAGCTTGGAATCACAGTGTCTTGAGGGAAGCATTTCCGTCTTCTGTGACAATTGTCTTTGTTATTGTTTAGTTGGATAGTTGCTTAGTTGTTTTTTTTTTTTAAATTGTATCTGACTCTTCATAACTCCTTTTTTTGGGTTTTCTTGGCAAAGATACTGTAGTGGTTTGCTTTTTTCCTTCTCTAGCTCATTCTACAGATGAGGAAACTGAGGGAAACAGGGTGAAGTGGCTTGCCCAGGTTCACATAGCTAGTATGTGTCTGAGGCCAGATTTGAACTCAGGAAGATGAGTCTCCCTGACACCAGGCTGGCACTCTATCCACTGTACCACCTAGCTGCCCCATGGCAATTCTTAGAGGGTGATAAAAGCTAATACCAAAACTATAACATTACCAAAAAAACTTCAGTCTGTTGGAACTCTGTTCCTAATAACAAATAGAGTCTCCCTTGGAGGTATTTCACTTATTGCAGATAAAAGATGAAACTTGTGAAAATCTAGGCCTTTTGGAATAGGGAGAAGCAGTTTGGATTCGAGGAAGGCAAATAAAACTTTCAGGATTTCCCCCTCTTCCTTCTGCATGAGATGAAAACCCTTGTTTCTCTTACTCTGGTTTGATTATGTTTGCCTTAGACTGGAAATTTCTAGCAGGAAAGGACTGAGGCTTTTTTTAAGGAAGCTAGTAAGTGAGCGTATCCATATGGTCCCTTAATTAGGATTGTTTAATGACTTGTTGACCAGTAGCCTCCAAATTCTGTTTCCCTCACCTTGAAAACTTCATCATCAGTTATCCCCATCATCTGAGTCAATTTGTTCAGTTGCCTGTGGTACTTGACTTAATTTCCTAGGGAAAGGAGTGAAAAGTCTCACCACTGAAAAATTCTAACATATTCAATTCGATTTGGTTAAATTCCACTTAAGAAACATCTGTTAAATGTTTATTATGTTTAATGCCATGTTTGTCTGCTGATACAAATGTAGTAGGCATGATGCACAAGAGGAGAATGAAGGTTCCAGGTGAAGGGCTTTTTGTGTGTGTGTGTATGTGTGTGTGTGTGTGTGTGTGTGTGTGTGTGTGTGTGTGTGTGTGTGTGTGAGAGAGAGAGACACAGGGTGCCTAGAATGGAGAGATATGCTGAGGGAAGGCAGAAGTAAGGATGAGTGTGGACTGGAATGAAGGGACAACTGCAGGCCAGTGGAGTTGTGTAGGGAAGGAGGTGAGTGGGGAGATGTAGGTATTGGACATGTACCCATATCACAGGGCTACAAGGGCTATCAGACCTGTGATTCCACTTAAGAGGCAGGTACTTTCACTAAGTGAGATGGGTTTGTGGGGACTGGGACTCAAACCTCTGGAGCTTACCAGTAGGAGCTCTCTACTGCTTAGTCAAGAGTTCAGACATGGGTCCTTTCTGTGTTAAACAAAGCCGTTCTATGTTTCATACTTTTGTGAACCCAAGGGTTTTCAAGGTAGTTGAAACTTTGAGAAACATAAACCCAATTCTGATGTTCCCAGATTCCGAATAGGGGCACGAGCTACCAAGATTACTATTATTGTTGAGAGACCCTCAAGTTTGAATCTAGAGGTCTGGGTCTGACATTTGTTTACCCAAAGACACAATCAGTAGTCCTTTCCCTAGAGGAGTTTATAGTCAATTGGAACGTAGCCTGGCCTCCTGGAAGTGCCTTGTTCTCTTCTAGGGAGGTTACTTGACCCTGTCTTGTGAGGGTGATCAGGAAAAGGGAAATGTTTTATTACAAAATGAAGGAGGAAGTAAAGTTCAGGCATGGTGTAAAGAAACTGAGGACCTAGCAACAACCTGGAAATAAAGGAGAGAGAAATCAAAGAACCCTTCCTTCTCCTAATCCAATTGTAGCATCTTAGCTCCATTGTCTATGGTGACTAGTTGCGGTGTATGGGGTATTCAAGGAAGGCTAACACCTTTGGTGTGAGGGCCTGCTGAGCGGTTTTCAGGGCTGCTCATTCGAGTTTGGTGTTCATTTCTCACCCAACTCTCACCTGGGGCTCTAAGAAGCTATAGCATGCACTGTGGCCGAACTCTGGTAAACCTTCTCAGAAGACAGACTATACCAGATTGAGGGTAACTGATGAGCATTAAACTCATCAGTGATTTGGGGCATGTCTACCCCCAAAATGTGAGGACACCCCTGGTAGCATGGACAGATGAAAACAATTTGTTCTGATAGCCATGAAGGTGACGGAAACAGGCACCATGGAGCACTTAGAACTTGGTCAGACATCAAAGTTATCCACTGCATCCTGGGCCATGGCCAATTGTCCTGACTTTTTTCTTGCCACTGGACTTCAATGATTCAGGAGGAGAGAGTGAGACTGACAACTTTGTGCAACTTTGCCTCACTTAAATCCAATTCACGTACTAGTCAAGACATCACGTTGTGATGCTACTGTTCCTCTTTTTTTTTTAATTTTTAGGCAATTGGGGTCAAGTGACTTGCCAAGGTCACATAGCTAGTAAGGGTCAAGTGTTTGGTTTGAGGCTGGATTTGAACTCAGGTCCTCCTGACTTCAGGGCTGGTGCTCTATCCACTGTGCAACCTAGCTGCCCCTGTTGTTCCTCTTTGAAAAAGAAGGGCAAACAACACCAGATGGGGACTGGTTCCTGCTGTCACCTGGAGGGAATGGAACACAGGATCTTTTATTTCCCACAATTATTGCTTCAACACAAGTAAAATATTTCTTGTGGTGCTCTGTTCCTGCTGGGCATTGTGCTAGGTCTGGAAGTAGAAGAGAAGACTGAGTTCAGTAGGATATCCACCAGTCAATAGCTCCCCTTTGCTTGACTGTCAAGTCTAGTTCCTCAACCTGGCATCAAGGCTCCATTTTACCTATCTATCTTTGGTTCTGAGCTGGGATTTCATCTGCAGTGTGGAAAGTTTCTCTTGAGGGAGAGCTTCAGTTCAGCAATTATCTGTAACTTAAGAGTCTTAGAGAGTTGCCTTGGGACACCAAGAGGTCAAATGACTCATCCATACTCACATAGCTAAGACTGAACCCAAGTCTCCTTGACTCTAAGGCCTGCCCTTGTCCACCGAACCTCACTATCTCATTTCTCCTTATCAAATATGCAAACATTATTATAATGAGGCTGTTTTTCTCATTACTTCTATTCCATACTCCTCCCACTTTTTGGAATCCCACATCAAATGTCATGGCCATTCTAGGCTGTAACAGAGTGGCAGAGTTGAGACTCCTTTGGCACTTGGTTAAATAGTATGTAATGTTCTCTGTTTCATAGGTGTAGTAACTTAGCTCCCCATCTAGACTGTAAGCTTCTTGAAGGCAGGGACTGCATCTTTAACTTTTCTTGTATTACCCACAGGGCCTAAAACATGGCTGGAAACACAGTAGGATTTAGGATTTAGTATATGTTGACTTACCTTATTCAAGGTAGAGGCCCAGACTAGAGCACTGTTTAGCTGAGATCAAACTGCCCTCCAGCTTCATGGGAAACTTCGGAGAGGTGAGCAAATCTCATCTCTGTGGAGCCAGAGTTCCCTAGGACCTGACCACCATGATCAGTGGTAATAGGAGGCACTTCTCTGACTTCTTCTCCCTCTCTTCTCTCAAGGACCACCACAGTTTCACTGTCTTCGCAGCAGCCAGAGCACCACCCTTCTCTGAGGTTCTCAGCCTGGTGGAAGAGGAGAGTGCAAAGGAAGGATTTCAGGAGATTAGAATACCTGGCTTTCAGCCTCCCCCCCAGCATGCTGGCTGGTTGTCAAAGCTCCTTCAGAAAACCCAATTCTTCCTACCTGAGCACTTAGAGAAGCAGTCCCATACCTGGTGTGTGACTTTCTTATCTTGATAGCCGATATGAGTGCCATTATGAAACATTATCACCTGCAGAGACCGGGCAATAATTTTGTTGAGAAGGAGATGAGGAGGAACAGAGAACCAAGCAGAAAGAAACCCCAACTTTGGTGCTCCACCTGAACAGTGGTGCAGTGGATAGAGTACTGTGCCTGGAGTCAGGAAGACTCATCTTCCTGAGTTCAAATTTGGCCTCAGACACACTTAACGGCTGTATGACCTTGGGCAAGTCACTTAACCCTGCATGCCTGTTTCCTCATCTGTAAAATGAGCTGGAGAAGGAAATGGCAAACTTCTTCAGTATCTTTGCCAAGAAAAACCCAAAAGGGGTCAAAAAGAGTTGGACATGACTGAACAACAACAACAAATATGTTCTGCAAGAGAAGAATAAGGAGAGGTTCATGGAATATAGATGGGAGTTAGAGGATATTGATTTGAATCCTGACTCTTCTCCTCTCCGGATCTCAGTTTCTTCATTTGTAAAATGAGGAGGTTGAATTATATGAACTCCAGAATCCCTCCCAAATCTGGTATTTGTGATTCTGAGGAAGATATACTTTTGGGTTGGGGCTGATGTTTGCAGAGGCCCTTATAACATGTCAGTGGCTGCCTACTGTGCTTATATATAAGGGTATGTTCACACTTCCCCTCCAGTTCCCCTTAGGACTCAGAGAAACAAATGTAAAAAGAAGCAAGCAACCAAAATGGATTTGCAGATCCTCAAATCAAATGGTCCACATTGCCCCAGGCTTGAGCTCTGAAGAGCTTCGGGGACATGACCCTAAGTCTTTTCTGCCCCCAAACTTGTCTCCCTCTGCCTTGTCCAAATCCTTTCCCCTCAAGCCTGAATCCTCTTTTTCCAGTCCCAATCTCCCTCTGCAAGACCTAAGTCCCGCCCTCTTTGACCTAGATCTTCTTTTATTCCAAAGGTCTCGTTACCCTTCCTGTTAACTTGGGAAGCAGTAATGAGCCCTTTAGTTTATAGGTTCCTTAACGCCAAGTTCATTGCCCCTTCCCCCTATTTTACTCTCAACCCCCTCCCCCATAGGTCTCCTACCCTCCCATTTCCTCTTCAGACACTTCAGTAGAGCTAGGTGATGTAGTGAGTAGAGTGCTGGGCAGACCTGAGTTTAAATCTGGCCTCAGACACTACTTATGTGACCCTGGGCAAGTCACTGAACTTCTCTTTGCCTCAATTTCCTCATCTGTAAAGTTGGGGTAATAAATAAAAACTTAATTTTGGGAGTTCTTCTGATCCATGACACTCATAGAACATAATTTGTTTATCCATTCCCCCCTAGGAAAACCACCCGTTAGTTTCCAGTTTGGGGCTACCACAAGAAGAGTTGCTATATATTTGTGTATATAGACCCCCCCCCCTTTGATTTCTTGGAGTTATAGGCCTGGCAGTGGTATAGCAAGTCAGAGAGTTTGATAACTTTGGTAACTTTCTGGGCATAGTTCTGTAGCATATACTTTGCTGCCCTGCTCTGGGTGGGCAACACTGACTCTGCCAGAGGGAAAGTGAATTTCGGCCCTTGCTATTCCTTAGAGTTTTTCCCAAGAGTTCACCTTTCCCGTTTATTTTTCCTTTCCTTATCCCCAGTTTCTCCTTACCATATTGATGGAACTGTTCTCAAGCGGGAGAGCCACACCCCTAAGGAGTGTCCACTGGCCAGGTCTTCTCTTCCTGGGAGACTGCAATTCAATCAGTCAATACTTACTGAATACTTTGTCTTTCCAACCCAAAGAAAATATAAAAAAGTAGAAGGTCCTATCTTGATTTCCATTGTAGCTGGGGAGGCAGCATGTGCCTGCTCCTCAAGCAGAGGATGATTAAAGACCACATTGTGTGATTTTGACCAGGCGCTATAGGACTTTGGTGAAGGAGAGCCCATTGTGAGCTGGAGTGTGAGTCCTGCTAGAAGTTGGGATTGAGTTTGACTTTGGAGAACAGGTAAATGTTTGAGAGACAGAGAAGAGGACCAAGTGCATTACAGGTGTAGAATCGTCCCTATGATTTGGGCTCTTGTACTTGTCAAGACAAAAAGGTAGAGGGGATTGTTAGGAAACCCATGGACAACTAGGTGGGATACTAGATAAAATGCTGGGCTTGGAGTCAGCAAGACCCCAGACATTTGCCAGCTGTGTAATCTTGGGCAAAATGCTTAACTTGTCTGGGTCTCAATCTCTCATCTGTAAAATGGGGATAATAATAGCACTTACCTTGAAGAGTTGTTTTGAGGTTTAAATGTCGGCAAACCTTAAAGCTTTATACAAATACTAGTGATTATGGATATTATTATAAGAACCTGGAGGGAAGGGGGAGATGGCTGGGGTAGATTTTGATGCCTAGAGGGAAAAACACTGCTGCTGAAGGAAAAGACAGCAGGGATAAGAGAGGCCAAAGGAGGGAACCCTGACCAGTGGAAAAAGAAAGAACAGGGAGTGTGTCCTCGATAGTGTCAGCTCTTAAGGCTATTCATAGATGGCTCCTGTTCTCTACTCATCCTCTGATCTCTGAAGGGATTAGATATGTCCGTGTAGCCTGTGATTACTCTCATCCAGTCACATACCCTGGGACCTGAACTCCAAGTACACCTCCTCTCCACCCCCACCTCTAAAGTCCTCTACCCTCTCATTTTCTTTTCAGACTCTTCAGGACAGCTAGGTGGACAGTGGATTGAGTGCTGAGCCTGGAGTCAGGAAGACCTGAGTTCAAATTCAACCTCAAGACACTTGCTATGACCTGGGTAAGCCATTTAACCTCTGTCTCAGTTTCCTCATCTGTAAAATGGTGATAATAACAGCAGCTACCTCTCAGAGTTGTTGTGAGGATCAAATGAGATAATAATTGTAAAGTGCTTAGCATAGTGCCAGGCACATAATAGGCAATATATGAATGCTAGTTATCATAACTAATAATATTGATTATTATTATTATTAAGAGTCTGGTGTTGTGCGTCTGTGTCCTCTGGGTATGTTTTTAGCAAAACATTTCCTTCTTTGCCCATTAATGTGGAGTGATAGTGTGTAGGAAAGTGATCTTTTGGCATCTTCTGAATTATCTCTAAAATGAAATCTGGGAAAAAGACAGGCCTGGACTTGGATCTTGGCACCCATAATTATTATCTACGTGTTTTTGGCAAAGTACTTCACCCCTCCAGGGCTCTGTAAAATGAAGCAGTTGGACTATATGACCTCAGCCAATTAGTTAATCAACAAGTAGCTACTATATGCAAGTTACTAATGCTTGTCACTGGGGAAACAAAGGCAAAACAATTAAAACAATCCCTGGTCTCAAAGAGCTTACATTCTATCAGGGAAGATAACATGTATGTAGTACATGCAGAAAGAAAGATATATCAGATATGGAGGGAAAACATTAGAAGTGGGGGTGGGGGGGATCAGGGAAGGCCCTTTCTGACTCTTCTGACTCTAGTATTCTGGTTCCCTCCTCTCTTGCCTCACCTTCCCCACCCTCCCAACAATCCCCTTAAATATTTCTTTCTGAGGTTATTCTTACCTTCAATGTCATACTTAGTTTCCTGCTTAGGTTTGGCTCCTCTTTCTCTCTCTCCTCACAGCAGCCCTCACAGAGATCTCTGATGCTGCTGCCATTTAGATTCTGAAGGGTAAAATCCATTTCCGAGCTCCTGTTCATAGCCTGCACATAGAAAGAGGGCTGAGAGGTAGAGTGAGTTTGGCTGAGGCATCTGTTCATGGGCAGGGGCACATCAATCCTGCAGGATACCAGCTTTGCCGCTGTTGTCAAACATGCTCCATGTTCTGTCCTCCCATTTGGTAGACCCACGCCATTCTCTAGGTATTGTCTTAAAGGTCATAGATGTAAGGAAATCCCTCAAGTACTATAATTTAGTTTGCTGTGCCGATAATAAAGAGGGAGAGGGAGGAGGTGGATCTGCCTTCCTGCATCCTTTCTTTCTCTTCTGCCTCTTTTTTTTCCCCTAAGTTTTTCTTTCCCTTCTCCTCTTGGTAGGTCAGGGCTGAACTGGGAGTATCTTAACATATTGGATGCATCTGGGTTTTCTCTTCACTGGCTTCCTGGCTCCCTTTCAGAGTGTCCCTCTTCTACCTTCCCCTTCCTCTTTCAGTCTCCCGGACACCATTTATCCTCCTGCATAGAATCATGTATTTAGAGCTGAGAGGGAACTCCGAAGCTGTCAGGCCCAGTCCCTTCATTTTACAGATGAAGAACCTTAGACACAAAGGGGCTAAGTGATTTGTTCAGAGTCACACACCCAGGTGTTCTGCCTTCAAGTCCAGTGCCCTTGACACTGTCATGATGCCTCTCAATGAACCAGCATTGTGATCATGACTACTTGAGACCAGGATTCCCAACTAACTATGCCCAGCAAATAAAAGGCGTGTCCAGGGGTGGTTTATGTCATGAGTATCTGGTCAGGTGTGCACTTTAATGAGAATGCAACCATAGTGACAGTGTCTAACTATGATGAGGGACTGTGAAAAAACAGAATGGGGACCCTTCAGAAAGTCCATTGAGTCTAAGCCCTTCAATTTATAGGTGACAAACCAACAGGACAGACAAGTTAAGTGGTTTCCTTGAGGTCTCAAAGTTAGTACGTTTGGAGGTGAAATGAGCCCTTCTGCTGTAGGTTAGATGACTTCCTGATTGTCCCTGGAGCCTTGGCAGTAATCACCGGGCCACTCTCCTCCTCAGTCATACAGTTTGGGGTATTTCTGCCCAGGCCTGGCTTGTGAGCCATAGCTTGAGCTGAGGTGGTTAGGGAGTCCCTTACCTTTGTCTGGTTAAGCAACTGGAGGAGGATGGTCCTTTGAAGGTCCAGGGTACCCAGGGACTCTTTGTAGGGATCAAGCTGTCCAAGGGAAAGCAAGAGGGATGATGCTAGGAAACTAGGCACTGAGGCAGTATCTTTCACGAACAGGCGGTGAGAGTATATTACTGCATTATTTTATTCTCCTATCCTATTCCTTTCAGCACATCCTGATCACAACTTTATCACCAACACTTTCTTCCTCAAATGGTGATGTGCATATATATATACTTATACTTATGTTATATCTGCTTATAAGTATATATATTGTCTACCCTGATAGAATATAAGCTTCCTAAGGGCAAGGTCTGCTTCCTTTTTTACTTTGCATCCCTAGCACCTAGCCCAGTAGTCACATAATAAATGCTTGTTGATTGATTTATTTTACATATATTGTCATGTGTCTCTCCATGTAAACATATTATATATATATATATATATATGAGTATGTATGTATATACACATGTTATATATATATATATATATATATATATATATGTGTATATATGCAATGTGGTATAGTAGATAGAGAAATAGCTAGAGAAAGGCCTTTGATATTTGGAGTGGGTCCTATATGGATAATTGATGGGAGGTCATGGACAAAAGTTGCCTAAAATGAGAAAGCATAGATGAGTAATGATCTGAACTGTAGGGACAAAGTGTCTACCATTATATGGACACAAATCCAATGATGTAAAAGCTTTCATGATCACAAAGAACTTTTGCATATTTCATTTAATACTGAGATACTTTGCAGTAATTCTGTGAGGCAGGGAGTGGAATTAGTATTATCTGTGTTTTATGGATGAGAAAACTCAGGCTCAGAGAGATTGAACAATTTGTGTGAAGTCACACAAATTCCCAGATTTTCTGTTCCCAAATCCAGTACTATTTCTACTATAGTCTTTTCCTGCAACTCCCTGAGAAGGGCATTCCTGGGTACTACTAAGAAGAAAGACATATGGATGGATAAACAAATAAAATAATTTATTTTGGGGTAAAAGAAGGTTGAGCCATCTCAGGTCACAGATCCCACCCTATTCATTAGTTAATTGGAAATTTAGGAGGTCTCTGTTGGGAAGTTGAAAGCGTATTCCTAACTCTTAACATGGTGCCTGCAACGTAGTAGGTGCTTAATAAATGCTTACTGCCTGATTGATTATTGATTATTTCCTAGAAAGGTCTTATGTTCCAACTTCCGGAATGCCCAAGAATCAGGTTATTTCTGCTTCCAGCAAGGCCATGACAATGCCTTGGCAAAGCCTGGGATGGTGTCAGACCTTCAGTGGAATAGAAGCACAGAATGATAGAATTTGAGGGTTTGAAAGGACCGCAGTGGCCTTCTAGACCAACTCATACACATTAGGAATTTCCACCATAAAATATCCAACAAACAAATCTTTTTCCTTCTCCTTTCTAACTCTCTTCTCTAAAGCCCAAGGTCAGGATGGTGGAAGGCAGTCCAACTTGTTTCCTTGAGACCCAAGTTCCATGATGTTTGGTCCTTGGCTCCACTTTGGATCTCACATAGGGAGACTAGCCAGATGGCAGAGTAGAAGAAAGCAGTGCAAACCTAACTCTCTCATAAAACTATTCTACAGAGACCTAGAAAATATCACAGCAAATCCTTATCAGAAAATCTGAGGAAAAGTCACAGTGAGTCATGTCTCCAGCCTAGGTCAGCACAGGGAGATAAAGAGGTCTGCAAACATAGGGATGGGGTCTAGCTAGGAAGGCTCACATGGAGCCTGAATAGGAGCTGAATAAGGGCCTGGAACCATGAAATGGGGCAAGAAGAAATCTTAGATTCAGCACAAAAGGGCTTGATGCTGTTTAGGGCCTTATATTGTTCACAATTTAGGAACAGAGGCCAACTGGTGGCTCTGTAGATTATATCCCAGAACAGGATTAAAGATCCAGCAGGACCTGAGGAGAAGACTTGCTTCTAGTTGTACCACACCAGGGAATGAAGCAACTGTGGGACTGAGTCTGCCTACTGGGCAAAGAGCAAGAACAGAAGTGAGAAATGGCTGTATGGCTCTGACCCTAGGAGTTGGGTGAGGTCTCAAATTCAGCTCCCAGCCTAGTCTGAAGCCTACAGGGGAATAATAGGGTGGGAAGTTCAAATGGGGATCCTGCAGTTCTGTTGCTCTGAACATTTAGTGCTTTTTAGCTAGCTGATGATGATTGAGTCCAATAGTAGTCTATTGGAATTCTAACCAGGGGAAAGTCTACAGTTGTGTTGCTCAGACCAAAACCCAGGTCAGGAGCTTGCAAAGCTCAGATCAGAGTGGCAATAATCAGATTTCACCCTGGATCATACTACTTTGGGAATGCTAAAACCTTGCAAGTCCCAAGCCTGAACTGTTCCTGAGATCCTTGAAGAACACAGTACTTGTTAACCAGAGAAAGTAGCAACAAAATTCAAAAGAATATAAAACAAGACCAAGTGAGGCCTAGAAATTCCCTTCAGAAATGCAATGATCCCAGTCCTAATCCCAATTTGGAAAGCCAGGATGGAAGAATGAGTAAACCAACAAACAAACGAAAAAGAATCCCATCATAAAGAGCTATGATGGTAACAGATGCTTAAGCCAAAAAGCCCAGAACAAGAAGACTTCAAAATAGCTTTAAGAAAATCCTAAAACAAAAACTCAATTTGAGCACAAGTTCAACTACAATTCCTGGGAGAAACATATCAAGAGTTACCAAATGATTCTTATAAATGAAACAAGAGTGCTAAAGGAAAAAAATTGGCAAAGAAATCAGAGCTATGAAGGAAACACTTGGAAAGAGAATTAGCACAATAGGTACAAAAACTTACTCAAGCAGCAGATTTCTTGAAAATTAGAATGGACTAAACTTAATGACTTCATGAGACAACAAAAAATATTAAAGTCAAAAAACTGAAAAAAGAAGAAAATGTAATATATTTTATACAGAAAAAAGCCAACCTGGAAAACAGATCAAGAAGAGATAGTTTAAGAATCACTGGACCACCTGAAAGCCATGACTAAGAAGCCTGGATATCTTGTTTCAAGAAATTCATAAAAGAAAACTCAGATCTCTTAGAACTGGAGGGCAAAATGAATGTTGAAAGAATCAACTTTTTCTGTTAGAAAGAAACCCCAAAATAAAAACTCTCAGAAACATCATAGCCAGAATTCAGAGCTTTCAGGTCAAAGAAAAAAATTATTGCAAGCAGTCAGATGTCACACAGTCCTTGGTTTAACACCCCTATAATTCATTTCTCATATGACATTATGCTTTATAGTTATCTGTGTATGTGTGTTAGCTTATTCCTAGACTGTATACTCCATAAGGGAACTGGCAGTATCTTATCTAAGCTTTGAATGTCCCCTCACATTCAGCAAAGTAGACTGCACATTGTAAACACTTAAATATTGGCTAAATGAATGAATGAATGAATGAATGAATGAATACTTTTGAATTACCCAGGACAGCTTCCTTACCTCTCTTTGTCCTTTTCCTTCTCCTTTTTCTTTCTCAGAACTATCCAAATGGTGCATCTTAGATTCAGTGCAGCTACCATTACAAATGAGTGAAGTTTTAGCAACTTCATTCTTACTTGATGTTGTCTGAGGAGCAAGAAGGCAAGTTCAGTGTTAGATTTGGGGAGGTGAGTCAGCCCTCCTTATCACCATGCTGTCAGAAGTTCCTACTTGAAGGAAATTTCTGTTTTTGATTTGGAGATACTCCAAGGATCAAAGCTGGAGTCAAGGGCAATGAAAGATGCTTCCCTTGGCTGATGTGGGGTCCCAAAATAAGTGGTGACAATGTGAGGTAAGGGAAAGGAAGGAAACTGGAGGAAGGATTGGCGAAGATTTGGGTTCTGTATCATAGTACTGTGCTATTATTGCGATGAGACAAACAGAGCTGGAAGGGCAATTGTAGTAAAGGACAAGGAGACCCTGGAGATGGGGAATAGGGAAACTGTTAATTTATCTTCTTCCTATGTGCCCTACCTCTAAGGGTGTTGTGAAGCTCAAATGAGATTTAGAAAGTACTTTGCAAACTTCAAAGCACTAAATAAATGCCAATTATTGTTATTATTATTATTTGTTGTTGTTGGCCTACTGTCACCAGGCCACCAATCGGATGATGACTTCATTCTCTGAGCCATCTTCTGCACTCCTGTTGATCTTAAGCAAAATTTATTGAGCAATACAGGGGTTTACTGGTAAATGTTTAAAACACTGGGTTCTCTGAAAAAAAAACACTTAATTTTTTAAAATGTTTATATTTAAAGTTTTGAGTTCCAAATTTTACCCCTTCTTTCCCTTCCCCTCTCTGTGATATGGTAAGCAATCAGATATAGGTTATATATGTGCAATTATATACAACATTTCCATATTAGTCATTTTGTACAAGAAGACTTGAATAAAAGTAAAAAAACAAAAGAAAGTGAAAAATTGCATGTTTCAGTCTGTATTCAATCAATATCAGTTCCTTTTCTGGAAGTGGCTTGTATGCTTTGTCATTAATCTTTGAGATTGTCTTGGAACATTGTATTGCTAAGAATAGCTAAGTCATTCACAATTCTTCATTGTACAATATTGCTGTTACTGTGTACAATGTTCTCCTAGTTCTGTTCACTTCCCTATGCATCAGTTCATATAAGTCTTTCCAGGTTTTTCTGAAATCATCCTGTTTGTCATTTTTTGCAGCACAATAATATTGCATTACAATCATATACCACAATTTGTTTAGCCATTCCCCAATTGATGAGCATCCCTTTGATTTCCAATTCTTGGCCATCACAACAATTGCTGCTATGAACATTTTTTGCACAAATAAGTCCTTCCCCCCCTTTTTTTTGGGGGATGTCTTTGGGATATAGACTTAGCAGTGGTATTGTTGGATCAAAGGGTATGTACAGTTTTATAACCCTTTGGGCATAGTTCCAAATTGCTCTCCAGAATGGTTGGATCAGTTCACAACTCCCCCAACACTGCATTAGTGTCCCAGTTTTCCACTATCTCCTCCAACATCCAACATTTTCCTTTTTTATCATATTAGTCATCTGATAAGTGTGAGGTGATACCTCAGAGTTGTTTTAATTTGCATTTCTCTGATCGATAGTGATTTAGAGCCTTTTTTTTTCTTATGACTATAGATAGCTTTGATTTCTTTGTCTGAAAGCTACCTTGAACACATACTTTTAAGTTTAATCTGCATCATTAACACTTGGTTAAGTCTAGAAAATCAACAAAACAATAAATCAATATTTTATCTATAGCGATTACCAATTTCTAATATGTAAATGCTTTCACTGAAAATTTAACAATTGGCACAAGTTGGTTCCAGCACATATCTACCTACCTCTCACTCCTTGCAACAATGGAAGCACAATGCTGTCTTTTCAACTCACAGAGACAGCAAGCAATTTTTTTCTACCTCTATAAAATATTTTTTGGGAATTTAATTGATATGGTACTTAATACATTAATTAATTTAGTTAGTATTGCCATCTTTATTATATTGGCTCAGCCTATCCATGAATAGTTAATGCTTTCCCAAGTATTTAGTTTTGTCTTTATTTATGCAAAGTGTTTTATACTTATGCAAACTCTTTTTATAGTTTTAGAGGTCATTTAGTCCTTATGTAAATCATGGTAAATATGCTCCCAAATATTTTGTAGATTCTGTAGTTATTTTGAGTGGAATTTCTCTTTCTATTTTTCCCTCCTGGGTTATATTGGTTATATGTAGAAATACTGATGATTTATGTTGATTTATCTTATACCCTGCAATTTTACTGAAATTATTATTTTAATTAATTTTTAGTTGACTCTCTAGGGTTAGCTAATTTATTTTTTTTTTTGGTGAGGCTATCAGGGTTAAGTGACTTGCCCAGGGACACACAGCTATTAAATGTCAAGTGTCTAAGGCTGGATTTGAACTTAGGTCCTCCTGGCTCTGGAGCTTTATCCACTTTGCCACCTAGCTGCCCCTAGTTAATTTTTAATTGACTATGTACACTATCACATCTTTTGCAAAAAGCAATAATTTTGTCTTCTCTTTATGCTTATTCCATCAACTTCTTTTTCCTTTCTTATTATGATAGCTGGTATTCCTAGTACTATACCAAAAGGTCATTGACTTTGATGAAATTTTCTATAATTTGTTCTTTGACCCACTAGTTCTTTAGAATTATGTTAGTTTCCATTTGCTTCTTAATTTTTTAAGGACGCTTTATTAAATATATTTTTTACTGCATTATTATTAGCAAGTTATATGTTCAGTATTTCTGATTTTTTACATATTTTGGTGAACTTTACATGCCCTAATACATGGTCAATTTTTGCAAAGGTGCTATATAATACTGCAAGGTATGGACATTTAATTCTATTATGATTCAGCAATCATCAGGAATTAATTACATCTAATTTTTCTAAGGTTCTATTCAGGTCCTTAACTTCTTTCTTATTTGTCTTTTTGTTATATTCTGCCTGCATGAGAAAGGGGTATATAGGGTCCCCCACTGTCTATTTTACTATCTATTTTTTCCTCTATTTTAATGGAGTTTTCCTTTAAGTATTTATATGCTATGTTATTAGGTACGTGTATTAAGTATTGATATTGATTCATTATGTGTGGTGCATTTAAGCATTTTCCCTGCTTATTTCTTTTTACCTTAAGCATTTCTACTCCTATTTTTTTTGAGTTCATCTGAAGAATAATAGATTTTGTTCCAGCCTCACATTTTAACTATGCGAATTTTTGTGTTTCAAGTATGTTTCTTGGAAACAAGATATTACTGAGTTCTAGTTTCTGATCCATTCTGCTATTTTTTTTTCTATTTTGTGGGTGAGTTCATCCCATTTTCATTCGCACTCATTATTGCTAATTGTGTTTTCCCCTCCATCCTAGCCTTTTTGACTTTTGCTTCTCTTTGTTCATACTTCCTTCTTTATACATAAGAAGGTGTTAGAAGAGAGGGAGTTTACCTGACACTTGCAATCTTAAAAGTGAAACAATCTATTTCTTCTTCATTGTATCCTTTTTCCTAACCTCACCGCTCCCTTGGAGAAGCCAGGGAGGAAAGAATGGCAAGGAAAATTGACAACTTAGAATACATGGTGGAAAGCTCCACTCAAGTATTGAGAACTGATTACTCTTTCTTCTTTTCATTTGAATCTTTTCATATCCCTTATTTCAATATGCAAGTTTGTTTTGCTTACGATTGTTCTCTTATCTATCCTGTCCTCCCTGTAAAATTCCTCTCTACCCCTTCTGTGACCCCATCTTTTATTTTTGTTTTTTTGAGTTTAAAGTATTTCTTAATAGAGATGTGTGGTATAAAATTGAATACAAATTTTCTTCTAAATCAGAGGTGTCAAGCATAGAGTCTATGCAGCTTGAACCAAATTAAAATGTTATTGGGAAATATTTAAGAGAACAAATAAAAATACAAAAAGATAGAGATAACATTACATTTTAAAATTAAGTCGATATGTGATCCAAAGGGATCCTTATTTATAGAATAGTGATGTCCATTTCTTATTTGAGTTTGATACTACTACTCTAAATGATTCAGATGAAAGTAAGATTCATGGGATATCCATTTCCCATACTCCTGCTTCCATGGCTACAAACTCTTCATATTACGTACTTCTATTATACAGTAGTGATTTCCCACTTCTTCCTTTTTTCCATATTATAGTCTCCTATTCCTCCTAAGACTAATACAATTAAACAAAACCACCCACAGACCCTCTGTAATTTTAACCTTTCTCTTTGACCTTTAGAGTTATTAGTTCTGAGAAGATATTTGCTTTTTATCCTTTTATTATTATATCAATGACTCATATCCACATATTTCCTTTTAATTAAACACAACATGCTGGGCTCCATATTTCTCTTGTACATACATTTCCATTTCTGAGCTTTCCTATTCTGCATCTCTTGTTTTATTTCCTTTAGGCAATCCTATAATCACTGTTTTCAGTCCGTTTTTTTCCTGAGACTTTACTTGGACTTGTTGTGGGTACTATCCTTTTCAGGGTTTACCTTCTGGGTGACTCTCAAATCAAGGTGTATCCTCATAGTGCTCAGAGTTATCCTTGGTTTGCTCATTGGGAAAGGGGCTGTGTTTGGGTTAAACTCTACAACTGAATGGTGTGGATGGAGGCTGCCTAGTCCTTAGTACAATGTACTAGATTAAGCCCCTCATTCAAGAGACTACAGAGCTACTTTGGTACTAGGCTCTGCCTTGGGACCTTCCTCCTGTCACAAAGCTTTAGGACCTTTCCTTGCTGTAGATTCTGCCTGGGGTTTATCCTCCCTATTGCTAAGCTTGGGACTACTCCAATGTTGGGATCCCAGAACAAGCTTTAGGGACTATTTGAGTTGGATTTTGTCTAGGACCTTTCTCCTGCAGTTTAACTTTGGTCACTGATAGCCGACTAGACTCTGTCTGGAATGACCTCAATCTGGTTCTCTCTGCTAAGCTAGAGTGGGTTCAGGCCCTATTGAGACTAGGAAGACCTCAGGTTCTGTTTTTCTTAGACAAGGAGTGCAGCTCTGGACATTCCCTACAGACTGGAAAGCCTTGAGGCTTCTCTCTCACATGCTGGGCTCAGACATTTAGCCACAGTCTTGGGAAAGGCTCTAGCACTGTTTGGCTTAGACAGTGAGTCCCCAGAATGCCCCAAAGTTGCTCTCCTGTAGCCATGGCCTAGGGAGAAGGCTTAGACTTGGCTGGGCTTGGGCCCTGTGGAGCTCAGTCATGTAGTGTTGGAACTGCTAAGGAGGCTTCAGGATACCTTTGTGCTCTACCTTTGACCTGCTGCACTTGTCTATCTTAGGATCTCTGTCAGAGTCCTGGGATCAGTCTCTACATTGCTTAATAGAGTGGTGCATCTCTAATCCTGTATGGAGTTTTTGTAGGGGATTGGAATCTTCCTACAATCTTACCTGGGCTACCTATCTTTTATTATGTCCTCACATCTCAGAGCAATGCATCTCCATTTCTGATCATACATTTCCTGAGCAATATCCCTTCTGCCATTTATGTGGCATAGGCCTTTATCAGAAATATGACTATACATCTTTCATTGCCTTTTGAGTCATCTGCAAGTTTTTTCTCTGAAATTGTGGTGTTCCAATATTTATAACCATGTAGCATCACCAGAAAAACATTTGTGTTGAAAATGTGGACCTTTGCCCCATTGAGGTGCTTGGAATAGTCAACACTTCCTAAAATTAATCCATCTGGTTTTCTTAGTTAATTCTCTACCCAACTCATTTTTTGTCTGTGTTGCTTCTCCCAAATATATATACTGATCTATTAACTAAATGGATTTTCCATGAAACTGTAAAATATAATCTGTGCAAGAAGCATTTTTCATCCATTTAGTTTTCCCTGAATGAATTGTTAGGCTGATTTCTTTTGGATAAGGATGGATCTAATTGATGAGGTCCTGTAATATTCTGGGGCTTGACATAATCAGTACAGTGCTACCCATAAACAGGGCATCTGAACTATCTCATCCTATGCATAGAAACCACATTCCATTTGGATATTGTACAAGACATCCTATGTGTCAGTGACAGAGCATATATCTCTTTGTTTTAAGCCTTGATTGATATTAATTAGAGAGTCACTGAAAAGTGCTGTGTCTGCGTTTGTCAAGGAATATTTAAAAACAATTTAACCTTTTCAGTTAATTGTGTAACCAAAAAGAGGTGAGGTATTGAAAATAATAAATGGACAGCAAGGAGATGAAATCAGTCAATGCTTAAAGAAGGCTATTCACTAAAAGGTCGAATACTGAGACTGAAGCTTAAAGACTTTCACCACATAATGAGAAGACAGGCCTCATTGGAAAAGACCCTAGTGTTGGGAAAGATTGAAAGCAAAAGCAAAAATGGCTAGATATTGTTATGGAAACAAAGAATATGAACTTGGACAGACTTTGAGAGATAGTGGAAGATAGAAAGGCCTGCTGTTCTATGCTCCATGGGATCACGAAGAGTCAGATACGACTGAGCCACTGAACAACAACAATGAAAACTGCCTATTTCCTGCTCATATTTTCATCGATGTTACCCTCAATATCTATGTAGAATATTCTCATAAAATTTGGGTAATGATGAGAAAGTAGGCATTATGGATTAATTTTTGTTGGGAGGGTATTAATATCATCTGTGATTTTTAATATAATTTTGATATCCTCTCCTTGAGATAACTTAAAGTGACGTCTCAAGTTTTTCAAAATTGTGCTGCCTCCAGCAGGGATTTCCTCAGTGAAATACTTAATCTGGTTCAGTTGCTACTTCCAACTTCATCCTCCTTGGTGCCATTTCTACTTTGTGTAGCACATAGGGGATGGAAGTGTTAATAGTCCAAATGTGGTTCCTTTGTTACTGATGATGAAAAATAGATCATTATTGAAAACAATGACAGATTTGTTCCATTTTTTGGTGTCTATTTTCTGCCCTCCTGCTAGTTTTATTCATGAGTGGATGTGGGATTTTTTGACTTATTTTTATCTTATGTGAAAGACAGTTATTGCAAATACATCTTGTATTTGCTTTCATGGAGAGTAAGTATATGTCAAGTTTTTTGCTTGTTTCTCCAAGGGGAACCTGTGAGCCACTACTTCATTTAGTGCACCTTTCTTTTGTCTTCTGTTTTTTTTTTCCTGTGAGGATATCAATATTGATGTGGTCTACTTCTTTCAACAGTATGTTAAATTGTTGGCCACTGGACAAAGAACTCAGGTTTAAAGTACCTGCATTTAATTTAATGTTTATAGATGGTCTAGTGTGATTCTTGGCACTTTCAACCAAATTTTCTTCTTTTTCATCACCCTCACAATTTAAATGGAAGGGGCCCACACAGAACTGAGGGTCATTTCATACTTTTTTTTGATATATGGGTTACCATGCCCCTCCCCTCAATCCATCACTTAGTGGCCAGTCTATTAAAGAGGATTCTCTAGGTTTTAATCCAGGTTGGCCCTAGAATAGTAGACTTGAGTTATCACTGGGCTGAACTAGAAGACCTTTTAGCATGATAGAACTCACCAGAGCTCCCATGCATTTCTGGAATAAATTTTGAGAATGTAGAGTCATCATCAGACATGGGAGTAAGGCTCTGCAGAATAATTAGTAGGTAAGAGAGACAACCAGGTTGTACAGTCCAAGATAAGTAAAACCTCATTTTAAGCATCAAAGTAATAACTAGACTAATATAAAGGTTAATGCCAGAAATTTGAAAGTTAACGGAACCCAATTATTAGGCAGGAAAATGTGGTCTGAGTCTGGAAATAAGAGGTCAAGGCCAAGAGTGGGGGGGTCTGGGTTAAACAGGGTCAGGATAACTTGGGAGGAGGAATAGTGGCTCCAACTAATAGCTAGCATTTATATAGTGCTTTAAGGTTAGCAAAGCATTTTACATGTATTATTTCATTTGATCTTTGCAACAACCTTATGAGGTAGGTGCTATTATTATCCCAGTTTTACAGGTGAGGAAATTGAGACCCAAAGAAGTTAACTAACTTCCTCAGGTCCCCAAAGCTAGTTAGCATCTGAGGCAAAATTAGAATTCAGGTCCTCCTGATTCCAAGTCCGTTGCTCTATCAATCCATTGTATCACTTTGCTTCACCTGAAGAATCATCCTGAATCAGTGTCACTTTATGGCAAAAGTATGCTCCCCCCTGCAAGACATTTCCCTTGCCATCTCTGCTCAGCTAAGACCTGTGTAGCCTTACAGAAATGGATTAATTGGTTTAATCTTCTTGATGAGGGAAGTTATATGCCCAGAATGGGCTTATCTTTCTCCCATGGCAGTATATGGGTATTGTTCTAAACCATAGTCTTAGCTCTGCCATCTGCTGGCAGCCCTCAAGCACACAATAAAGACTTTACCTAACTTTCTACATTCTTAGAGCAAAACTACCTCATGGTTCTGGGGCACAGCTTATTTTGGGATGGGTGGCTCAAGCTCTGAGAGATGGATGACTGAACCCTGGTTTCCCTAGTAGTACCCAGAAATCCCCATTTTCCTCATGGTTTCTGGTTTCCCCCACTGTCTGCCCTTCCCCAACCCCATCATCCATAGCTCTTTCCCATTTCCTCAACCTCAATTATGACCTTTAACTCTCCTTGACTTTTCACCCATTTTCAAACTTACTTCAGTTATTCCTGAGTAACCACCAATTATAAAGAAGTCTCTCTTTGTTTTCTTGAGCTTGTCCTGTAGGAATAGAGAATGGAGGTAGAGATTGGGCACATGTTACAATGGATGGGGATTGTGGGGCCCCTGGGTATGAGTCACAGAGATAACCTCTGTATATTTTCCCACTGGTCATCAGACTCAGCACCAAAAATGAAGGAGTGAATCTTTGTCCCCCGAACACTTCTCAGAATGCCTGGCATACAGTAGACATTCAAAGTCTGTAGAATTGAGTTAATGTAAGCTCCTTGAGGGCAGAGACTGATTTTTGTCTTTGTAGCCTCAGTACCTTGCACATTGCCTGCCACATAGTGAACCCTTGAAAGAGCATTGATGTTTTATTGATTGGTTATACACATACTCTTCTATCTCCTCTCTGTTTCTGTGTTTTTCTCTCTTCTTCCCTCCCCCCTTTTTCTCTCTGTCTCTTTCTCTCTGCTTTCTCTCCCTTTCACCTCTCTCTCCCCCTATACTTTTCCTTCTTCCTCTCCTTTTCTCTCTGTGTTTCTATCTTTTCCATCTTCTCTCTCTCTCCTTCCCTCACTCTCCCTTCTTTCTCTCTTTGCATATGCACACATGTGAGAGGCATTGTAGATAATCACTACACTAAAGGGGCTACCAACACTGGTGACAGGGTCATTGGCACCTCTGCCCCTTGTCTTTTTGGCACTTCCTATACCCCATATTTAACATGAAAGGAAATAAATTCTAGTGTTTACTGTGAATATGCATATAAGAAAGAAAAGCAACTCACCAATAAGCATTTATTAAGTATTTATGTACTAAACATATAAGAATGTATATGCATGTATATACATTATATATATTCAAACATGCATACATGTATATAGAAATGCACATATACATGTATATACAAAGATACACACATGTATATACACATGCACACATATGCCTACTAGAACATAAAAAATAAATATATAGTAGAAGGAGGGTAATTTTAGAAAGGATGGCACTAAATGATAAAGGGACCAGGAAAGGAGGAAGAAAGGGGGAACCACCTCCTGGGTGCCAGAGTCTTAAAGGAAACCAGGGATTCTAAGAGTCAAAATTTGGAAGGAAGAGCATTCTAGGCATTGGGAACAGCCAGCATATAGGCATTGATAATGGAAGATGGCGTATCCTGTGCAAAGAACAGCAAGTAGGTCAGTGTGGCTGAACTGTGGAATGTATGGAAGAAAGTAGAATGTAAGAAGATTGGAAATGTAGGAAGGGACTATGTTGTAAAGAGCTTCAAATGTCAAAGGATTTTGTATTTAATCTTAGAGGCGAGAAAGAGCCACTGGAATTTATTGAGTAGGGGAATGACATTGCCAGACATAGGAAAATCACTGTGGCAGCTGTCTGGAAGTTGGATTGGAGTAAGGAGAGACATAAGGCAGGGAAACCAATTTGAAAGTTATTGTGTTCAGTCAACAGGTGATGAGAGGTTGAATTAGGATGATAGTTGAATGAGGGCAGGGAGAGTTATTCAAGAGCTGTTGTAGAGAAAGAAATGACAAGATTTAGCAACTGTTCAGACAGTGAAGTGTTTGGGGAGAGGACTTGAGGATAATGACAAGGTTCTAAACTTCAGTGTTGCCCTTGGCAATAATAGAGAAGTTCGGAAGAGGGGAGAGTTGGAAGAAGGGTGGAAGATAAATTCTGGTTTGTACATTTTGAGTTTGAGATATCTAGCAGATTTCTAGCTCAGTGTTCAACAGGCAGTCGGTGAGGTGGGAAGGACCTTAGGAGAGACAAGAGTTGGATAACTAGATTTAGGAATCATCAGCCTAGAGAGGGCAATCATGGGCTGCTCAAGTGAGAAAGTATAGAAAGAAAAGAGGAGAAGGGCATCTTGGGGTAGAACCTTGGGGAGAACACCCACAGTTGGTGGGTATGGCATGGGTGAAGATTCAGTGAAGGAGGCTGAGGAGAGGTGAGACGGGTAAAAGGAAAACAGAGAGAGGAGGGGAGAGAGAGAGAGAGAATAGTCACAGAAATCCAGAGAAGAGAGGAAACAGTATCTAGATGGAGAAGATGGTGAGCAGTATCAAGAGCTTCAGAGAAGTCAAGAAGACAGAGAATGGAGAAGAGGCCATTACATTAAGCAAACAAGAGGTTGTTGATGAACTAGCAGAGAAGAGAAATCCGAAGTCAGATTGGGGAAAGCTTCAGGAGTTGAAAGAAGAGGAAGTAGGAAGTGATTATAGACAGATTTTTCAAGAAAGGAGGTTAGCTGGGCAGGGGAAGAGAGATGTGCAGTAGGCATAGTAGCATCTAATGAGAGGTTTTTAAGATGGCAGAGATTTGGGCCTGTTTGAAAGCTAGAGCCAGTTTCAGGGGGCCAGTTCCACTCTCTTATCCCTAGTAATGGGTTCAGCAAAGTAAAACTGCAAAATGTCCATTTGGAAGTCAGCTAACAACTTTCTTCTGCCTTCCTAGCACCATCTTCACCTCCTCAGCAATCCAAGCTTTTCTTCCACCTCCCTCTGGATCCTCCCATCTTGAGAGTGTTTCCACACTGTGGTTTATCGAGTGATCTCTGAGGACTTGGGGAATGAGGCCTCACCACCTGGTGACCAATCTCTGGTTATGAGACTCCCTGAACTTAGTAAAGTTGGTCCTAAAGAAAATGAGCATCATTTGGGCAAAAGCTTTCCAGCTGGGGAAACCCTGTTAGAAGTATTTTCTTCCAGCCTTCCAGAACCCAGGGTTCCCTGCATACCCCAAATGAAACTCTGCACTACAGCCTGAATGGAGGATGTAGCACTTAACCTCCTCAAGATGCTCAAAAAATTCAGTTAAATTCCCCATTTCGGTTTCTGGTAAATGAAATTAACTCAATCTGTTATTTGGCTCCAGGGAGTCCTGGTCAAAAGAAACAGGAAGTCACAGTTTCCAGCATCCTTGGATCCTATAACTTGCTGATGGAGAACAGACATCAAGCACCTTCTCAGAGGGGAAAGGACTTTGGGTTTATTGAAGATAAGAGGTGTGTGCATGAGGGATCCGAAGGCCAGAGGCTTAAAGTTGGTAAATGGTTAACCAGGACACATTTTAAAGTTTAATTTGCATTATCAATGTTCCCTCTACCATTTTCTTAAGTTTAGACCTTCAACAAAATGATGAATCAAACCGTCATCTGCGGTGCTTCCCAATTTGCAGGGTATAAATGCTCACATTGAAAATTTAACAGTCTGCTCTCCTGAGCATTTCAACTGCTTCTAACACAACCTTGTTTTTGGAGCTCCTGGGTCAAGGTTTAGTGGAGCTGCCAGATCCACTCTTCTCCCAAATGGCAGGGAGAAAGGTGAGAAAGTGAGGATCCCTGTGTTCTCTTGTCCTTTCTGCCTTCCTTCCAGGCTTAGACTCCTCTTCTGCCCCTCTGCCAGCCCCCACCCTCATCAGACACTCTGTTCCTGCTGCCTCCTAGGGTCTCAGCCTCAGCAGTCACATACCTGTCCTGCCTTTTCCTCCTCTGCTTGTTTTCTTCCTGTTGAGACTTTTCCCAGAGGGGTCCCGGCCACCCCCAAGGTGACCCCTGCCACCAAACTCAGCAGCCACAGCCTCATTTTAGCTCATCAGTGCAGGGCCAGCTTAGACTAGAGGTCTGACTCCTCCCTGAGAGAGGGCAGTGACCTGGCCTTTGGGTATTTGGCTGCTTCTGGTGGGAGGTGTCATGGCTTTAGTTACAAGCCATCTTTCAGATCTCTAATCTCACAAAAGACCCTTACAGAGATGGAATTTGAGGGGGACCCAGGGCTCCTGGGACAACCACAGGCAGTCAGGGGAGGCAGGCAAAGTTTTTATTGAGTTTGGGTCCGAGGCTTGGGCTTTGCTAGGAGATGCTTTGGAGCCATTCTCTCCTGGATTTGTGTCTTGAGTGTCTCTGCTAGCACATAACAACTTGTTCCAATGGAATTCTTTTTCTGCTTGCCTATCTTCCTACTCACTTCCTGACTTTGGATTTGATGTTAGGGCTGGGCTGTGTGTGATTCTGGAGGAAAGGTCTGGGCTGCTCTCGTTGGTGCTTTCTTGGGGTATTGAATGTTGTGTTATTCTAGGCTCTCAGGGACAGACTGGAGATTGCAGACTTTCAATGCTCTCAAAGGGGTCTGATCCAGAGGAAAGTCTGATTTGTGCCCCCCTAATCTGAGCTCTTTGAGCCCCTGGCCCAGGATTCAGTCTAAACAACAGTAGATGCTTCTGGACTCAGATGCCGTTAGTCAGCTGGAAAGTTTTGTTTGTTCAGAGTGATGGAATTATAGGCTGTCCTTCAGTCTGCCATTCCTGCCCTAGTTATTCCTCTGCAGGCCGGGCTAAATGCTGGAACTGAGGCCCCATTCTGGGCCTGGGGCATCACTGCTGCTGCTGGTCTCAGTATACCACCCAGGGTCTCTCTCCTTGGGAATACTATCCCTACTGCAGATCTTCTTCAAGTCTACCCTGGATTTGTGACCTGGAACTGGGTAATGGGTGACAAAGCTATCATTTGACAGCTATTGCAGTGCCCTGGTATAGGTCTGGGGGTGCCCTAGTATGGATCTTGGACCTCCTCTTGCCCTAGTACGCAGCCTCTCCTGGACATTAGAGCACTCCAGGTGGCATACTCCTGGCCCCAGTATCTGCAGACCTTTCTGTCTGTCTCCCTATGCCAACTTAGCATAAACAAAGGACTCACTGTGACTTTTCTGGATTTCCCCAGCAGGATATGATTTGGTGCATTTTCTAGGTCTGTAGGAGCTTGGCACATTCCTTTCTGCCACTCCACATCTTGCTTCTGCCTCTGGACGTGTTCTCTTGGAAAGAAACTACTGGTAATGACTGACAGTGGCTTAAAAACTATATAGGGGAGAGACATCAAGACTTGTAGAGATGTCAAAGTCACTCTCTTTGGGTTCCTCTTCTATATGTGTGCTCTGATGTCTAGAGAGGGAAGGAGAAGTGGGCTTCAGAGAATTCTCTGGAAAAGATACCATTGGGGTAGGGCTAGGACTGTCCCTGCCACCATGGAGTGGAAAGAGTACTGGATTTGGAGTCAGAGAACCTGGGTTCACTCCCACCTCTGCCACTTATTACTTTTGTGACCTTGGGCAAGTCACTCCACCAGTTTCCTCATCTGCAAAGTGAGGAGGTTGAATTATATGGCCTCTAAGTTCCCTTAGGATTTTGTGATTTTATGAGCCACCAAAGGGTCATGAAGACCCAGAGAGAAGTCAAAGGGAATGACTCAGTTCTCTCACCCAAAGAAAGAACCTAAGGGTTAGAGGTTCTAATGGACAAAGAATTGATATCCTCACTGGAACTACTGTGCTGCCCTGAAGATTCAGAGTCAGAGTCCTTGATTTCCCAAAGGGCCCTCATTCCTATTTTTACCCCTCCATGGGGTATTGAGGATTTGTCTTTGCAAGAGAGGACATAGAAGGGGAAAGGATATGAAAATGCTAGGGACATCTTGCCTGTGTATCATCGCTAGATGTATAGGGCAGATGCCTTTCTCCTTTTCCATACAATACCCCCTCCTAACTCGCTGCCGGGAACCTTAGTCCCTGTCTGGATGTTGAGGCTGTTAATTATTAACAGCCAGGGCCATGGGGGATGTGGCACAGCTAGGTCACTGAATCCTTGGGAACCCCAGCCAGGGATTAGGGAAGGAATAGAGCCGGGGTCAGAGCTGGGCTTAAGATGGGCTGAGAGGTATCCTTTCACTGAGCAAGGCTGAATGAAGACTTCTGAGCTCTGCTGAACTACTTAGTAATCCAGGCAGCCCTGGAAAAGTCTGTGCAGTGGAGAGTGAGGAAGAGAAATGACAGATGTTTGAGTGAGGGGCTGTGGTCAAACAAGGGAAAGTGGCAGCAATGTGTCCATTTGGCTGAAGACAGAGTGGTAGACCAGGGAGAGGGGAGGGCTCTAGCCTCTGCCCAGAGAAGTTGAGGGAGTTGAGACTCTGACATAGCCACTAAAATATTTTGTCATTTAGTTGTGTCCTTTTCTTCATGACCCCATTTAGTGTTTTCTTGGCAAAGATGTTAGAGTGGCTTGCCATTTCCTTCTCCAGTTCATTTTACAGATGAGGAAACTGAGGCAAATAGGGTTAACAGACTTGCTAGGGTCACACAATTAGTATGCGTCTGAGGCCACATTTGAACTCAGATCTTCCTTACTACAAGCCCGCTGCTTCGTCTGCTGCACTGCCTAGCTACCCCATGAGGATCCAAGCCAGTGCTAATAAGGGGCTTAGTGAGCTTGGATTGGTCTACAGACTAGGTTTACTTGGGGGAAGGGTATTATGGGTTTAAATGCTGTTAATCGATCACTGGGTCTTGGGAATGTGGATGGTGAAGGGAGGGGTAAAACCTTACTTTCATACCTGAAGTCTGTGTGATTTTCATGGAGCAACCGCTCCCTCCAGTGGTAGAAATCACAATAACTCTACCCTCAGCAGATCATAGGTTCTTAATCCATGGTCTGATGAGTTGTTTGTTTGCTTGTTTTTTATTTTGTTTTTAAATATTTTGATAACTGTCTTTCAATATAATTGATTTCTTTTGTAATCCTATGTATTTTATTTTATCTATTTAAAAACATCATTTGAAGACTAGGTCTATAGGCTTTCCCAGGTTGCCAAAGTGTCCTGTGACATAAAAAATGGCTAAGAACTACTTCAGTAGATGGTTTTTATCATCCCACGATGAGCCTCTCTGATACCTAGCTAGGTTAGTCCTAAGATAACTAATGTCATAGGGCCGGGCTTCAAAACCTATCTGTCTTCATAGGGTGGGACAGTTTGCATTCTGTTAGTATAACCTTCAACAACCCAGAATCAACTCTGTGCCTTGATGAGATATTAGCTTAGGACTTTAGTAGAGGAATCTAAAACTGATAAAATGCTAATGCTCACCCATATATCCTCATAATGCCAGGCCCCATCCCCTCAGGTGTCACACCTGCATAACCTAAGGTAGTGGTTTCCAATGTTATTTGTTCCTTGAAGTCTTTTTTTTTTCTTTTAGGCAATTGGGGTTAAGTGACTTGCCCAGGGTCACACAGCTAGTAAGTGTCAAGTGTTTGGTTTGAGGCTGGATTTGAACTCAGGTCCTCCTGACTTCAGGGCTGGTGCTCTATCCAGTGTGCCACCTAGCTGCCCCTCCTTGAACTCTTTTCAAGAACAATAACAAAATGTACCGTGAACACCCAGCGTAATTTAATGTATTTATTACTCATAATACTCTTTTAGCTTAATTTATTAAGTGCTTACAATAACTTTTCCCCTTAAAGTTCCAAATTAAAATTTGCATTATGTAATTAATTATAAGTAATAAAATGTTATTCTATCCATAATTTTGAAAGCTCTAAACATAAGATTATAAAAATTCTATAAAATCATTACAATTTTTTTTTGGTGGGATATTCTATAAGAATTAAAAGAAGCAATCCAGGAAGACCACATGTGCTTATTATTATCTATAAAACATCATATTACACATCTTTACTTTATAAATTTTGTTGAATATAATACTTTAGTGAAGAGCCCTAAAGATGTTTAACAAAACATAATCACGTATAAATTTAATTTTACTCTAAACAAAAGTTTGTAATATTTGACTCAACACCAGACAAAGTCTTAAATCTGGTCCCACATGATGTTTATTTCTGTATTGAATTTAAGACAGGAATAAAGTGAAAATGCTCACATGGTGGATAATGATGGGAAAATTTTGCAAATTCTCTTGCTGCAAGATGGAAATTCAGTTTTTATTTTTAGCCAAAAATTTGTGACTGTCATTTTTGAATGATACTTGCAGTCCAAAATCCATTTACTATCAATTGCTTTTTCTTTTTCAATAAATATCAATTCATCAGACAAGAGAAGTAAAGGACTTGTCAAATGGATTATAAGTCTAATTTAATTTATTGGAAATTTCAGAAAAATATTCGTTGAAAGTCACTTAAAAACATTTTAGATGATCATTGGTGTCTTTCTTGATGGCCTGATCAAAAGACAGTTTATTTTATTTGTTTTTCAATTTTTAAAAAAATTTTATTACTTTATTTTGATTTATCAACAATCACTTCCATATGTTTTTGAGTTGAAAATTTTTCTCCCTCTTCCTCCCCCCCACCCTCCCCAAGACAGCGCACAATCTGATACAGGCTTTACATTTACATTCGTATTAAACATATTTTCACATTAGTGAAGTTGTAAGTAAAAATTAAAACCAATAGGAGGAACCATCAGGCAGATGAAACAAAACTCAAGAGAAGGTAAAAATAAGTGATAGCGATTTGACTTCCATAGTTCTTTCTTTGGATGTGGACAGCATTTTCCATCCTGAGGCCTCTAGAGATGTCTTAGATCCTCATAATGCTGAGAAGGGTTCAGTTTAACAATATTAGTCATCGCATAATGTGGCTGTTATTGTGTGCAAAGTCCTCTTGGTTCTGCTCACTTCACTCAACATCAGACCGTATAAGTCTTTCCAGGTTTTTCTGAAGTCAGCCTGTTCATCATTTCTTATAGCACAATAGTATTCCATTACATTCATATACCACAATTTGCTCAGCCATTCCCCAATTTATGGGCA